GGACACGCAGACAACCCCTCGTCAATATGCGTTTTTGCATTGCATAGCTGCAAAAAACGCATAAAAATGAGCTGAAATAGAAGTTACAGGTCAGATGCAAGCAGCATTAACACAAAAATCCTGAACTTACTCAAATGGGTGTGTGAATCCTTATCCTTCAGCAAAGGTGAACGCGAACCGCGACTGCACGGATCAGCCCGAACATTCTCCTGCGAGCGATTCTGACTTGCAGATTTTGGTTGCAGGAATGTGTGTATTCCTGAAATCCATACCTGATTTTTTTTTCGGATTTACCGTTATTAACGAAGGAAATGAGGCAAAAGCAAACCCATTGGCGTGTGTGGTTGTGCCCGGTCGGAAGCCATCAGAAGCATTTGCCGCTGCATGGAAAGCTCCCGCAAGTGACGCTGACTGTCGCGTACACTGGCATATTCCTCCAGTTGCCTTCTGTAACCAGATCTAGTAAATCTCATTAACGATACAGTTGCTATCGTAGACCAACAAAATAATGCATACTTTGGTGTTTTATAATCTCTCCAGTGCTGGCCTTCGCGTCGTCCAAAGAAAATGAGGCTCAGCAGAATGAGTAACAATATGCAACATACACCCAGCATCGGAAACATCTAAATTCTGTGACTGCACTCCACGCGAACAAGCTTTACTTGGTAAACGAATTGGTGACTGACCAGCTCCAAGCGTCTTGATGATCGGGGCAATAGGAAGCTAAAACTTACCAGGAACGATTCCCAGAAGTAGTATCGAGTGTGTATCACCGGTGTTTCGGCAGTCAGCAGAGGTTGAGTGGGCAAGTCCTCGCGAAAGTACGGAGTGTGTACAGTGCGCGCATCCGGTCTTATAATTTTTATTGTCCGTCTTTCCAGCCATTCGTCATTGCTGTGGATTGTTAGTGTCGTTACATTCCTCTGCAGAGATTATGATTGAAATTCTGGGTACGGCTCATTACTTGAAAAATCGCACGCCGATGAGGCAACCATAATAACGGACATAAAAATTTTTAGGCCACTTGCAAAACAGTTTTAAGAAGTAAGCAAATTTTTCAAAATTCGGTTTAAATAAGACTATGGCAATCAGGTCAGCCCCAAATATTCAATTGGTAAAAAGCTCTCTGGATGCTCAACTGGTAAAAAAAGTCGTGACAAAAAAAAATCCAAAGCCTCGCCGAGTTTAACTTTCTACTAATGGTACCAAAACAACGCGAGAAGCCAGCTGAAAAATTCTGGCTTTTTAATACGATAACTGCCAAAGCATCAGGTTGGGCTTCATCAGTCACCAGGTCCAAGTACCAAATGAATTGCGGCGCTTAGAAAGTGGCAGCTCCATTACTGTGCGGTCAGGCGCTTGTCAGTTTTTAAACGTATAACTGAAGAAACAACAAGCACTGACCACATGGAAATTACACCAGTTTATTTCGAAAACTGGCGCGAAAAACTTGTCGAGTGGCACAAGTGGATTCCGGTTGCAGTACTGTGGGTTTCTTTGCAAGCCACGTTCCAAGTTCAGTACGTTCACGTGAAAACGACTCTGGGTACCAACTCGAATAATGCTTCTAAAAATGCCTCTTTTTCGGGATACAGCTATACTTCATTCTAACATTTTCTTCTTACATTCACTTCAATATTCGTTCCAAAACTCGCTCTGTTTTCATTTATTTTGCAAAAGACAGAGGCGCTGAGAAACAACTTCAGCTACAGCGATTTGCCAACAGCAACCACCAAATGCCAAAGCTGCCAATAGTTCCTTTTTCTGAAGGTTACCTAAGGCGTCGAATGAGGGCAGTTTTGACTCCTTGGCATGAGTGCATCGTTGAAGCAGAATCGTAAAGGGTTCGATTTTCCTACCGATCAACTGGGACCAAAAACTTACTGCCTGAGAGCTAATGAATGTTACCACTATTACACCACGCTCACCAGCAGCTGAATATGAAAAGCATGTAACCCTAAAAATAAAGAAGGCAAGCGAATGCATAATGAAAATAATAGTTCACGGGCAGCAATTCGAAAACGCAGAATGCGCAAAAAATTTAAACCAAAGCGTTGTATTCTTGACCTCCGACTGACATAGACAGGCAGCTGCGTGATATCAAAAATGTAGAAGGATCACGAACATAAGTTTCAATTCTGAATCTACTTCGTGGGCTATTTTACTGTATTTTCTACAACCAAATGATTATTGTTAAAACCACTGCATAACATACCCAACTTTATGTTTTGGATCAAAATGGGATGTTTCTGGTGGCGCATTACCGGCGGGCAAAATCTGGAATATGTAAGGGTTCAGCGATTTGCCTCTGAATGATTCTTTTAGCGATTGTTTCAGTCGATTGACAATTCCAGTACGATCAATCATGAGATCTTCAGGATCATAGTTTTTCACGTAAACCTCGGCGAACTGCTGCGTTGTGTTATTATACCTCTCTGCAACTTTGTAGTCAAGCCTGTACAAATAGAAGATTCAAAACATATTGTTCTAGTAACGAAAGTTACCAAGCTATAAGACTGATAAAGGTCATAAAGAGTATCACTAGAATGTTGTGTAATATCTAGAAAATGAATTTTTTGAAGTAAATTCTCTTCAGAATTTGTAAGTGTCAGTCCGAATAGCAGTTAATAAAGTAGCAAAGATCATGTAGTTAAACAAAAAAAAGCAAAAAACTTAAAATGTATGCTTTACGAAATGTGCTAATTATCTCTAGGAAGTATAACTGCCTGCGGACTCAGCGAATTATGAACGTATTGTAATAGTCGCAGAAGAAAAAACTAGAGGTAGCTTATCCTCGGTGAGAATATTTCAAAGAACATTCTATCATGCCACACTTCGTAAAACATGCATTTTACGCTTATTGCTTTTTGTGTATAACTGCATGATCTTTAATACATTATTGACTGCTGTTTAGCATGAAACTTCCAAATACTAAGGAGAATTTACTTCGAAAATTTCATTTTTTTTCGGCATGAAACGGCGTTCTTTGGAGTAATATGATTACGACTGCAAGACAAATTGGCCTGCGTGTTGCAGTATCCAATCGCACAGTAACAATCCCGCAACTTACCATTATCGTTCAAAAATATTGTGATGAATTGTTCTGCCTTATCGTAGTTATCCAAGCGCCGAGCAATAACATGAATAACGACTTGATTGAGAGGTGTCACCGCAGTACCATATAAGTATCCGAGAGGTTTATGTCGAGATGGCATTAAATGTAACCACAAAGGTAAAGCCGGACGACTACGAAGAGATGCTGACCATTTTACATCAACTGCAATTAGAAGCATCTTTGCTTACCATTACCTTCAAACTACGTATAGCGATACGTGGTACCACTGCTCCTCACATTCCTAACTTCTAAGATTATTGGTTGTAAAAGCGAGATACATACATACACATAAGCACAAACCCGAACATGCATAGAGAAGCTCATTTCCATCAGAACACGCTTTTTTTTTAAAACAAGAGTGCACACTACCGTACGATCAGGCGTTTTGCGCGCGTTTGCTTGCTGTCAAGAATGTTCACTGACCTACAGTTCGATATGTGCGCAGATCATCGAAATACCCCTTGGCTTCAGGGTTTTCCAGCCAAAGCTTTTACGTGTTCGTATGTGAGACATAAGTGCATGGAGGAGCTGGACTTAATTTGCTGGATAACACGTGGGCATGAAGCCTCTTGGACTTTTTGTCTTGTTCGGATAATGAACTCGAATAGTGGGAACGTCTCTGCATTTTTGACTTTCATGTGTTTGTGAGTGAAATCTAGGCGTACGCAGAAGTTGATTTCAGCTTTCTTAGGTCGCACATGGATAGAAACCCAGGCTGGAACGCACCAGGCGAGCCGGTGCGATTATGCGTTTTTGCACTTTTCGTA